TTGCTCTTTAGGTCATCACGAGTAGCTTTGGTAGTGCCAGTTCTGGGGGCGGTGTTTTTCATAGTGCATCTGCCTCCACCGGCCATACTCACCAATTAGTTACTCATCAAGGAGCGACTTATTTGGTACAAAGTGGACAACTTGAGGACGAAACTTCTTTAACGCACACAGCTAAAGCTAGCCCTCTAACGGTTGGTATTCATTTCCCTTTATTTTTTATACTACTTGCGGACCAACTATGCCAAAAGTATATTTTAAAATATATTTTTACAGGTTCAATGGCTTGTGGACAACTATGAAACAGCAGAGGGTGTCAGTCTTCCTCGAAGCACGTTGTATTTTCACTATTTGCAACATTGCCATGAACATAAGTTAGAGCCAATGAATCCAGCATCATTTGGCAAGCTTATTCGTTCCGTCTTCCTTGGTCTCAAAACACGTCGCCTTGGCACTCGAGGAAATTCCAAGTACCATTATTATGGAATTCGCATCAAACCGACTTCACATTTAATTCACTACGTAGAAGATGCTAGTTTTGCCTTGCGCCACTATCCTTCTTATCATCGACAAAGTATGGAATCAATACCAGAATGGAAAGGTCTCACATCTAATGTCTCCGGAAGTGGAAATGTAGGTGGTGGATCTGCAGATCGGCTAAAAACAGCCCTGCGCACTGGTTTGGGGCCTGGCAGTCCGATGGGGTCAATCTCCAGTGGTTCAAGTAATTATCATGTTCACCATTCATCCAATTCTGTCGTCGGTGGTATTGGACATCTTGTATCTTCCGGCATAACTGGATCATCTAGCAGTTCTAATATGGGGGATGCAGCTACTTCTAACTCTGCTCTTGTCGGAGTCTCAGGTCTATCTAACCTTGGGGGGGCTGGGGGTGTCTCTTCCAAATCTGGCATGTATCCACATCAGCATACAAAATTCCTTGGTCAGACGAGCTTGGCGCTCCCAAATTTAGATGAGATATGTCGTTCCTCAAATCTACCAATCCCGGGCCAGTGTATGTGTGCTTTCACTTTGGTTGCTTATCTTCATTTACTACTTAACTCTAAACTAATACACTATTGTAACCTTGTGCTGTTTTAATTATAAAATTAGTACTCATCTGAAGAGGTCTCTGTTATTCCTATTTAATTCATCCTTGCCCCAGAAAGGGCTCAACATTCTGATTGATTGATTGGGCTTAATTTGCACTCCTTATGATATTTGAAACCAGGTCGTGCACATCAAGCTCTAATACATTAACCCTGATTTCCACTACTTGAGCTTCTGGGCCTGGCTTACATAAGTTTAATTTTTTATTCAGGAATTGAAATCGATACTACAAACTTTTATTTGCGACTTCAGGTGGTCATTATTTTTATAAAGTCCTTATTCATAGTTCGAGCACTTTGTCCTTTATCAATTATTTAAATATTTTTCTCGATTTGTTTTCATGTCTTGCTTTGCTATTTATTTTAAGTGACCTCAGCTGATGAAGTTCTAATTCAAGAATTATTGATCTTCTAGAAACCTACTTTTATCGAAACCTCAATTTCTACGGTTATATTCAGGAAATCTGTTTTTTTGGGTTAATTGCTTTATTTAAATCTAACACTGCTCTTCCCATTTTGTATA